TCGGGTGGGGGAGTGCACCGGTGCAGGCAACAATTAGTGGCGCGAGGAGGTCCGAAGTTCCTTAGGTTATTCCAAAGGCATAAGCGGCAAGTCTTTGCAGCCTCTTGCACGTCCTCCAGTCGAGAGGTTCCACGCGTCCGCATTCTCTCGGAACTCGCTTGAGGTACCAGATCGGTGGCCCTACCAATCTTTATTTTTACTATCGCAAGGCTTATTTCCTTTGTTATAACAAACGGCACCGGTCCTTCACAGTTTCAACTGATGAGATGGCGTTTTAGTGCTGAACAGACAACATTTCCTGATACGTTTGCTATCTCTCAATCTCCAGTGCCTTCTTAACATTCTCCTAAACAGTTTTGTTATGGAAGAAGTGCTTAATTTTTTTTTGCGGCCTTGCTCTCCTTCTCGCCACAGACCTCTCGCTATCTCTCGTGATTCCGACTTCACAAACGGCCCTCCTATAAATCTTTTGCTTTCTTTATAACTTGATCTGCAGCCTGTTTCTTTTTAAAATAATCTCTCCATCACTTTCCAATTTTTATTTGTGTCATTGCTTGTCCGCATACCCTGTGATGCTGATGTTGGGCAGGCAGTGGAAATCAAAACCAATCTTAAATAATCGCTTGCGGACGACAAAAAGTGTGGCCTTGACAGGAAGCCGATGCACGACTCTCGTTCACCTACTAATTTTATTTAAAGAATATTTAAGAAGCTACAAAAATCGGTTGTAGTGCGCATTCTACATGCTTAACGAAGTTGTCATATTTTACATAGAAGTCTTTTGAAACACCTTTTTTGGCTTCTATAATGTAAGTCAAAGTGTAATTCCACTATGCAACTATAACATTGAGCTGGAAACATTTTAGACTCTTTCAAATGCAAACGATGCGGATCCTTGTATTCGAAAAGGTCCTTGCGGTGCTTTTGATCCTTTTCCTGCTTCGAAGGTGTGAAGTGTTGCGCCTTCACGCATCTTTGACCTGCAGCGCTATGTTAGCAACGAAGTTTATTTCTGACAGCGGTAATTCGTCGGGGAGCTACTTTGATGTGAGCTGAGCGTTTGCGCGTGAAACCATTGGAAACAACATCTCGTATTCGGACATGACTAGGATTCTGTCACTATTATATCATTGTTTCTTTCACAATTGAACCATCGCCTCGTATGGATTTAGTACAAATTTTAATCTTGAACAAAGCTGGACTCTGCAATTGAGATTGAGGATAATAATTGCTTGTGCCAAGCTTCAGTTTTGAGAAGTAACGACATAGTGTATAGGGTTCATAAAGGCCTTTTTAGATTATTTACATAATGGTAATAGTGAATCTGCTTTGCTCACAATCATATGACTTGTCCCCTAAGATTAAATTTGAAAAAGATGGCACAGACAACACAACCATCGATATAGAAGCATTCAAGGTTTGCTCTATGTAACTTAAATAATTTATAAAATTGTAAGATAGCCCGTCATCAAACTACAGAAATTCATATCAGTTGTATGGAAAAATAGTAGCACTACGAGAGTATTTTAAGGTTTTAATTTCTATGGTATTACATGGTATATGCATTGCATGTTTGACGGTTTGTATGATGGCAAATAATATCGCAGTATTCTCAAAAATGCTGCCTCCTATTGTGGTAAGCCGATTTCAGTTGCTTGAAAAGCCAATTATAAACTAACATTCACGAAAACTTTCTCCATTCAAAATATTTAGATAGTCACAATTTTGACGTTTAATTTAATTTTCAATATTGCTGGGTGCACGTGTCTTTGGCTTCATAATGATCCTAAATCTCCACCAGGATATTCACCTTCAATTCGAGGATCTGCGGTAACTTTGCATAAATGCGACGAGTGTCTTGCAAAAAAAAAATGAGGTTTTTGAAAATAAGCAAAAGAAACAATTGATTTTACATGAAATTTTTTTGCCCATTTATAATGAAAATATAATACTTACAAAAATGGTTTTGCACATAATATTTTGCTCTCTCTAGGTGATGTCATCCATTGGAATGGCGTACAATTTCTGTACTACGTTCTATTACTGTATTCGACTCCCCCCACAGGGTAAAAAGAAGTCAGCGGAAGTAGTACTAAAGGAAGAGGGAAGTAAAGTAAAAAAGGATGAAAAGAAGGAGAAGGAAAAGGAGTCGAAGCCTGCAAAGGAGCTTAAAGAGCCTGTAAGGTAAAAGTTGCTAAATTGCTAGAATGTTTATATATATATATATATATATATATATATATATATATATATATATATATGAGTTTTGTTTTTATTATAAGTGTTAATTTGCATTATTATATATTGAATATGTTTTATTTGAGCTCAAGCGGAACGAACGTTAAAAAAGCATTGGGATCTGGTGAATCTGCGGAAACCCGAGAGCAGAGCAAAGTATGTGGATCGATTTTTTTAAGACATTTAAATTTTATAGAGAGAGGTGAAATCTAAGAGTTTTGAGCGGTTTAAATGCTATCGCCTCAAATGTTATGTAGAGTTATTGCCTAAATAAGGAGAAGATGAAAGAAAAATTTCAGTGGCATTAGATTTAACATATGTTTTCATGAAATAGAGAACTAAACAAATTGCGCATTAACACCATAGATCGAGAATTACATTTTGAATTATAGCAAAATATGCAAAACGTGAATGTAGCGCCTGCACCTAAGGCAGAGGTTGTGCAAAAAGCAAACTATGCTGGCGAACAAGAAATCGCACAATCAAAAGAAAAACTTGGAGAAGAGGCTAAGGAAGGAGCGAACCTAGGACAGGTATTGAGATCTAAAATTCTTGGGTATTTAAGGATAATGTCCTGCTGTAATTGCAGTAATTCAATTCTCTTATACTTAGGAGATCAATATTGTAAAAAATGCTGAAGGTGGGACGAAAGATGTGAAAACAGCAATGGAGATTCTAGAGCCACCTGCCCATGAATGAAACAATGTAAACCTTTGCTACATTTGCCACTTCTAGGCATTGAAAAAGGTTTTAAAATGTTTTGTTTTTCGGAAAAGCATCTTTTTACTACATTTGCTCAAGCAGTTTCCTTTCAGATACTCTACAACTAATAGTCATAGAAAAAACTATGTTTCTTAGTCAATAAACAGTTTTTTTAATGAGCGCAGAGATGAGATATGTTCCGTCAATTAGCTATCCCTCTGGCATCCTCTTAAACCCCAAAAGAGTTTCAATGTTTGTCTTGAATCGTAGTAGACTTGTGTGTGAATGATTGACAATGATAGCTCGAATGAACATTTCGACTAGACTACCCTTGCCTAGAATTCAGTAAGTACACAATTACCCAAAAGAATTGAAATCAAAATCTATAGAGTAATTGACTTCATTGTCGATAGAGATTTAAATAGATGTAATCATGTAATTAGATGGCTTATTTGTTATCGTAACTTTGTATCCACATCCAATCTGAGAGTGCTCTGAACACTTGAGTCTTCTAGGAA